TTCCAACTTCTGTGAGAAAGTTTGCTGAGCAAATTAATAAAATTATTTTTATAGTTCTTAGCAAACTCTTTATATACTTTCTTAACACATGTTTTGTTAGTTCTATAAAGGATTTATATTTATCTATTCATCTTCTGCATCTTTTGAGCATGACTAACTACTTGACTAGCTAGTAGATTTTTCTAATAAAAGATTAGAAATTTAGGGTACTTTTCCAACCTTTTAGCATATTAAATTTTACTTTAATTTTTATAAATTTGTTTCAATTTTTTGGTGAATGATCAATCTGCTTTGCACCTTTAATATCCTGAAGGCATCATCAAACTAGTACAGAAAAAACATTTTGTGTTTAGCAAAATTGATGAACCTGTGATAAACTTGTATGCACACACACATCAATTTATATTAAGTGAGAAATATTATGCATAGTCAGCATGCAATGATAACCACATAATTACTCTATCTTAAACTAAGAGTTGGTTAAAAAATAGACAAAAACTATAGGTAATGCTAATCTAATGTGGGCTAATCTGTTGGGATTTGTCGGCTCCCTTTCTAAATAAGTTGCACTATAGCATTTGAATTAAATTTTATATGGTAAAAAATTAGTAATCATATAATTTATAATTTTCTTTGCAAAAGAATTAACTAAAATAAATAAAATTACTAATTTCTGAATTTATGTAATATAATAAATATATATTAATCTAATTATATACAACTCTCCTATTTCTATACCATCTAACTAACATATGGTTATGATTATAATTTAGCCAGAGACTATAAATCAGTGATAAAATATTATTAAAAAGAATTAAAGAACTCATTACAAGTGTATATAATGGAATACTACTATATGAAACTACTTTAGTGTAGTAGATAACCTATTATTAAATACAATATAATATTAAATATGATATAAAATAAAATAATTAATAAATATAAATTAAATTTACATACTTGAATAATAAATTGTGGAATATCTTCAACAATAATATTAAGAACTGTACCATAATAAATCCATATATTAGCTCTTTCAGAGAATGGAGCAGTAAAAACTTTGAAATTACCAATTTGTGAAGTTAAAAGATTTAAAGCTTCAATATCAGGATAAGATAATAATGTACAAATTGATACAACTTTTACATTTCCCACAAACCAATTACAAAATTCAATGTTGGATTGAATTTCATTTATAAAAATTATAAATGTAAAGCAAAGATTAAGAAATGTAGATATGACCAAAATTAGAATACTATTTTAAATATAAAAAAAAATCAATATTTTACAATATAATGATATAATAAATAAAACAAAATCATTTAATAAAGTAATTTCATAAATTATCAAACCTTGGAATGAAAAGTTCTGGAACATCTTGTCCATTAGTAACAATAAACACAATATCAAGAACAAAGTCAACAATTATTATCACAATTTGGAATATAAATATATTGTTACCCTATATATTAAAAGTTAAACAAATTAAAATCATATATAAAAAGATATATAAAAATATATAAATATCTTGCAATAATTACCTTAGGATTCTTTCTTCTAGCCAAAAAATAAATAACACTTAGCAAAGAAATTGCTATAATTGTAGCTACAAATACATATTTGATTTTGTTCCAAAGCCTTTCTATAAAATTAATAAATAAATTTATATATAGTTTAGTATAAATAAAAATTGCATAAATAATATTGTTTTTTTACCTTGAATCTTAAATCCATAATCACTATCAAAATACTCTGTATAATTATAGCTAGAAAGTGCACTTGTGTCTTTATTTTTAATCATATCATCTAAATCATTTATGATATCTTGTATACTTGGCTTATTTAAAGGATCTGTTGCTTTTACAACTAAAAATTCAACTAAAAGTTTTGTATAAGAAGAGTCTAATTGAGTACTTCCTGTCATATATAATCTATCACTATTAATAGGAATGCTAGATATAATTTGTTGATATAGCACAGTCTTAATTTGTTGATATAATGTCCAATTCAAATTTAATCTTAGAGTCGCTTTTGTAGAATCTAGATAGTTAAAATTATAAAATAGTAAAATAGTAAATTTATATAAATATTATATTTATATAACTGATAAATATAATAAAGTTTCATATTAATGTTAATTACCAAAGACTGTTAAGTTATATGCTGTAGATTTATAAATAAATGTTATTAGTATTTTATCAAAAAACAATTTATAATAAATAAGTTTTTTTAAAAAAAATGCTAATTCTTACATTCTGGAGTCTTAACATTCCAAATATCACGTTTTATCCCATTTAATGGTTCATTATATATCAAAGTTTTAACAAAATTATTATCTAAAACAATGGTGTATATGCTATCTATTCTATTAAAAGTACTTAACAAAACTTTACATGTTACTTGAATATTATTCTGGCTTAAAGTGCAATTTGATGCAGGATAAGTTTGACGTAATAAGTAATTAGATTCATTGATGACTTGATAAATAGTAAGATTTCCAGTTGATAAAACAATTGAAGTGAAAAAAGTAATTTTGATATTCATATTATTTTCAGAGGAAAGAGATGCCAATGTTGCATTTTGTTCTGGTTTAGTGGATAAAATTGCAGGATTATTAAAACCATCTAAGAGAACACAAAGTATAAGTTAATAAACGTAAGTGTAAATTATAATTATGAATTAAAGGACTTACAATCTTTAGTAAATGCTTTTGCATCTTTGGTGCTAATAAACCAATTTTGTGAATAAGGAACACTCAAAACAAGCCAAACAGTGTTATTATCAAAAACACCAGAAAATTGTAGCTGAGCATTTTTTGGAACTTCAAAGGAATCGCAAGAATTAATTATATTACAAATGTATATAGGTTTTTCAGGCATATTGCTATAATAAATATAGCCACCAAATTTTAGTGGCATAAATACTGCACCAAAACCATTCATTCTCAAAGATGAATTTGTAGAGACAGTTTGGGCAGTTTGTACAGTGCCCGTTTCGATAACAGAACCAGATGTTGAAAATTTAATAAATTTAGTAAATACAAAAGGAAACTTATTTTTCAGATCATAAAATGATAAAGCTATAAAGCAAATGCTACTTTGTATATCCTGCGAAGTAAAACCTGCTTGACACTTAAGTATAACAGGAAAGTTTAACATCTTATCATAAGATTGAAAAATCAAAATCTGTTGATTAAAACTATCTTTTATAATATTCACATATAGGGACATCACTGGATCTACAGGGTTGTATGTTGAATTAATTGGAATGTTAGAATCTTTCTTAACCATATATGCAATTGCATAATGACCACCAATTGTATTAAATACACTGAAATCGATAATAAAATATCCATCATCTGCTTTAATAGTACTATTTGATATAAATATCATATTTTTTTCATTTCTATAATATATATAAACATAATGTTAAAATGTTAAAATTATAAAAAGAGACCTACGAAATATATTAATTATTAATACTTGCGAGAATAAATATTTCATGCATATCAAATAAGTCCTATTTGGTTGCGATATGATCAAAATTTCATTTGATACATAATTGTATATTGGCGCAACTGCTTCAGATGAATAATCTTGGCTATTTGAAATATACAAATAATAAAAATTTCAATGTTAATATACATGCTGTATGTATTTACGAATATTATAATAGTATAATTGAATAAATTTAGACCTTGATATGAAAGTTCCGTGCCAATCAATGATAACACCACGATTTATGTTATTGGTGTCACACGTTATAAAAATATAATTTGTTGACAATGGATAAGCTTCCGTGAAATTACAGTCATTAAGATTTAGTATGCTCTCATGCATAACAGGAATGATACTCCCATTCGTAAAGAAGAGATATAAACCAATATTGCTATGATAATTTGACGAATTAGAAGTAGTATTCAGGGTCATTATCAGAAGCGTACCATCGTCGTACTGTTTTACGCTTTCTAAAATAGATGTAAATTGAGAGTGAACTATGCAGTAATTTATCGATATTATGAAAAAAAATAAGGTAACAAATTCATAATAGTGAAGGACCCTCATAGTGCTATAATGCCTGACTCAAAGTCTAAAAAAAGATGTAAATTTTTTTGTAAAAAATTTAGCATTTAAAACTATAAGGCTTTTTAAGTTTATATGTTAAGGAATTAAATCTAACTCAGGAAAATTAGCTAGTGCAATTTTCAAGATGCTTGACTACAAACAATTTTAGTATGGCGAGAATTTGGCGAAGCTTCGTCAAATGTGTCAGCCCCGTGATCACCAAGCCGTACGTACGTACGAATAACGATAAACATTTCTCCGAACCTACATCAATTACAAGTAGCCAAGCCACATACGTATTAGGAAGGAATTAAGTCTGATTTGTCAATTTTTTATAGAATACCTGTGATTACCCGTGGTGATTTACATTGCATAGCGATAGGATATATTTATAACCATAGCAAAACGAACTATATATGTATTACTACAGTCAGGCATATTACCAAAAATGGAAATCGATTCTAGATCGTTCCATTGAAATTTGATTGGCTACTTTTTGCTA